CTGCTGAGGAAATTGAGCAGGGCTGCATTTTCTATGAATAATGTTCAAATCTTAATGTTCTTACTTCTGAGTAATGGCAATGGAAAATGAGGTTTCAGTCTTGCGCTGAGCTGTTTTGGTAGCTGCTCCATGAGGTGGAAACAGAATTAGGAGATTGTCAGCTTATTGTTGGAGTAACATTTGTTAATTAATGATGTTTAGAACCAATTCTAAACTTTTTCTGCCCATTCTTTTTGGAGAAAATTATCGTTGAGACTGATTCTTACTTCCCTAAAATGTAGAGGTCAAGGACATCATGATGCTAATGGTGTTGGTTTCAAGAAAAACCATAGAAAAGTAGGGCAGGAAGAGACCTCTGGTTTGGATGCAGACCCTGCCTGCATCCAAACGTCCTATACAAATCCTTGTCTAACTTAGTACTAAAACTACACAATCTTGTCACACAAACCTAACTTGCCACGGTGATGGAGGGGAACAACAGCAGACGCTGCCCTACAGCTGTAAGAGTTGTCAAAATATATTTGACAAATCCATTGAAGATGACAAGTGGTCTGGTTTTCTCCTTGTTTGCTCAATAAGCTTACCATTACCTAGTTAAAAGGGAGATTAAATAATAATGACTGCTATAGCTGATAAGGCCTCTCTGGCCAATTTAAAATAACTACGGTAGGAACAGCAGATGGCACCTCTTCCACACTTTGATATTTGCTTGTTCAGAAAGCAGGTCTCACTTAACAACGTTAACCCGACTAAAAACTAGGTTCAGTTTCTTCTTCCGAGGATGCTAAAACTGTGTGTGGCAATCAGAAGTTCCACCCCCATATGCACCTTCCTGTCTGTGCTCTCAAGATTGCATTTGGGGATAGTCAATAGGTCCAGTCCTGTTAGTTCTAGATTATCTGACACAACACCCGCTGCTTTATTTGTCAAACTGATCCACGTTAAAAACAATGAACACTGAGTCCTTGAATATAGATGGCAGACAAAGCAGTGCATTTTAAAATATGTCTTACTGCCATCTATTTCCATGTGTAGGGATTGGGATCCTCTTTGGAAGTACACATTTTTGCAAGTGAGTCAGCCTTAATACTTAAAACAATACTGCCCCCTTCAACCTCATAGGTTGCTTGAAGACCCAGTGTTACGGGAAACTGTATTTTTCATAAATCCCTATTTTCTCAGACTGACGGGGAGAACAACTTGAACATTATCCTGCAGCACATTACTCGATTGGCATTATTTCCAGCCTGGCCTTCAATGCAGCTTTAGTAAATCTTTACCTTTCTCGAGGAGCATTTCCTGCAGCGTCTTAACGATTTTTAAACACGCTGGTGAATTGGGTGCCCTACCACAGGACACGTAATCCCAGTGTATAGGAGAGGAAATTGAGAGACGGTGGTGGAGTGATTTGCTCAAGGCCACCTGAGGAAGCAGCTCCATTCTCAAGTGTAGGTTCTGCTCAGGGGCTTCTCTTTCTTTGGCAGATTCAGAGCAGGGGTCGGAGCACCCTGAAGAGTGAGCAGAGGAACTTCTTCACCACAAGGGCGACCCGAACTTGGTGCAGACATCCGGGGGGCCTGGGGGGGGTGCAGTCCCGCCCCCAGCCCTGGAAGTCTTCAAGGGGAGACTGGACAGGCACCTTGCTGGGTGCTTTGATCTCAGTTCCGTTCCTGCCCAGACCAGGGGGCTGGGCTCCAGGATCTTCCGAGGTCCCTTCGCGGGCACGGCTAGGCCTCCCTCGCGCCAGGGGCAGCCTAGCGACGGTTGCTAAAGGCAACCTGCTGGAAGGCCAGTGGCCACGCTACTTCCGTCGCCGCCTCGGAGGGGGGGCGGAACTTCCGTTTGCGAGCGGAAGCTCCGCGCTGCGCCGGCTGCGACGGTTTAAATCCCCGTCCGCGCGCGGCCCCGCTCCGAGGCGATGGATGCGCGGGCGCGCGCTAAGCGCTATGAGAAACTCGACTTTCTCGGGGAGGGGCAGGTGGGCGCGCGGGCCAGGCCGGGCCGGGGGGGATGGGGGCGGTCGTCCGTCAGTCCCCGCGGGACCCGAGTGACCGACCGCGCTGTGTTTCTGCCCTAGTTCGCCACCGTGTACAAGGCGCGGGACAAGAGCAGCGGCCGGATCGTGGCCATCAAGAAGGTGGGTCCTGTTGTACCCCGCCGTCCCCCTCCCGGGCTGCCCGCAGCGCGGTGCAGCTGCTTCCCGGGCCCTTCCCAGCCCGGCTGCGGCCTGCGCCGCGTGTCCCCTCGGGGCTGGAGCTGGGGCAGGCTGCAGCAGGCTTCACGGGGGAGCCGCCTGCTTGCCCTGTAGGATCCGTCAGAAGTTGGCAGGGCTCGTGGGGCTGCTGTCCCAGGACAGCGACATGCTGCCCAGGGTCTTTCCAGTCAGCTGAGGGGATTGTGTCCGTCCGGGGTGACTTGCAGCTCAGGGTGCAGCCCTTGTGATGGGCCTGGTACTTAATCAGACATGGGGGACCTGTGTTTGTTGCAGGTGTAACAGTGTGTGGGTCACACGGGGGAGCGTAAACCTGGTTGCAAAGAATAATATAATCATCGGTTTTGTTTCTGTGCGATATCTGTTGCTTCCAGACATACCAAAAGCTGCACATGCGGTTGTAAAAACATTACCAGTTGAGGTTTTTACAGCACTGAAACTCACTTTTTCCTTGAGAAATGTCTTTGCTCAGTCAAACAGTTGAGGTGTGTGGTTCTTCTTGTAGATAACACAGCATTTACTATCTCTCTTTAGATTAAGCTTGGACATAGATCAGAAGCTAAAGATGGTAAGTACTTCAAGTATGGTTCTACAGCATCGCTTGCCCTTTTTTTTCTTTGCATTGAAGACTCTGAAAAACGCTTGTTGCCACGGAGCAATGGGTTAGCTTCACAGATCTTAAAATGGAAAAGTTGTTGTTAACAGCTTTATTGTCAAATTTAATCTCACCTCATTGACTGAGGGATCCTACAATAAAATCGCCACCAAAACGTGCATGTTTCCTGTGGAAGCAGTGGGAGAAGAAACACTGAAATCTTCGCGTACATACTCTGAAGTGTCCAGATATTGTTATGATGGGCATGAAATGAAGGTCTGATTGATGCATCTTTTTCCTTGTTTTTGTACCCAATATGAAAACAGCACTAGCATAAAGTAAATTGTGAAAAATGTATTGAATTTCTTTCAGTTTTGGTGTATAGTGTTAATTGGAAGTAACAAAACTAATTTACAGCACAGTTAAGTGTCTTGTGTTGTCCCAAGATGATGATCCTCTTAGTTTTTTGCCCTTAATTCTGTCAGATGTTTTGACATGATACTATTGGTGTTAATGACATTTTAAATCTCTAAAACAACTTGGAGTCCTTTTAAATTTTCTCCCTTTCTACTAAACACTACCAATGACCCCAAGTGTAGTATCATTCATGAATTTCAAGAGTAGTCATGTAAAAAGAATATAACTGTAGCATTAGGTTGCTGTGAGTACATGCCAATGTGGATTCCTCTGTACGTGTGCATATCAGATGCACACAACTTCTAATTCTTTGGAATAGCAATGTCCAACCAGGTTAAATGTACATTTTGCATTTCTCATCTTCCGACATAAGGATCTAAAAGGGTGAGGCAAAGGCAGTCTTTTTTTAGCTCCCTTTTGCTGTCTTGAACACGAGGTGGAATTCAGTAGGTATCCAACACGTCTTCAGAGCCCATGAATGGACTTGAATGAAATTGGAAAGGTGAGATTTCTTTGAAGGATGTTTCTTAAGGAGATGCTGAGCACCATCCTGCAATACCCCTTTTACAGCAGACCAAGGTACTTTGTGCCAATCGCTGCACATTCAGAGGGAAATGTAAACCCAGCCTGCCCTTCCCCAGGCTGATTGCTTTCAAGGATGGACTAATCTGGTGTCTCTTGTGTCTATGTATGGGTTGCATGCTGGATAACTGCTGTCTGTTCTCTGAAAGGATCTGGAAGCCCATTTATACTCAGCTTAAGTGTGATCTGCTTCAGCAGTCTATACGGGTCACTTCAGACTCAGTAATAGCATTGGATACAGCAAGGCCAGATAAAGCAGTGTTTTGTAGTACTCCTTCAAGGTTTTATCACAGCCACCAATATTGACACCAGTTACCCCAGTAGCAGTGAAATCTGTGTTATTCCCAACACAGACTTCATGCTGGCAGATCCAGCATTTGGTATCTATGCTGACTGCCATTGATCTCAGCCAGTAAAGCCAGCTTATATGTCTACTTATAAACAGGATGTGAAGCCAAGCTTGAACATAGCTCCAAGACTGATGAGAGAGAATGCCAGACATCTCTCAAGAATTCATTAGTGAGATCTGAGACCAATGTTGGTACTCATGCCTCTGATGGAACAGAATAAGGGCCCAAACGTGTTCTGGAGGCACACATCTCACCTGGAGAGGTCCATGATGCAGAAGTGGCCTGAACCAGGACTGCATTTCCTGTGAGAAGACTTGATCCTTCCCATGATTGCTAATGTATTCCTTCCCATTGAATTTGAATATGAATCCCTTGTGTCTGCCATCCTGAATGAGCCCATGCAGAGCACTGGCCTGGTCAGTTTCTACTGAATGAATGTCCCTGTAAATAGGTCACCTGGCTCATATTGGCTTTACTGGAGACAATAGTCCTGCAGGAACAGAACTGAATTGTAGTTGTACAGAATTGGCTGTTAAGTGCACATCTGTCACAACAACCAATTTGAATTGCAATGATATGCTGAACTACCATTTTGTAAACTGAATCTGTTTTCTTGCTTTATCAAGTAATTTGAGGAATGGGGAATTAATCTTAAGCATTTGTTGGCATATTGAACAACCAGAATTAGAGATTCCTAACTGGAAGTTGAATTTAAGTTTGACTTGCTCCCATCTTTGTCCTTTCTTTCAATATAGGAATCAACAGAACAGCCCTCAGGGAAATAAAACTGTTACAGGAGTTAAGCCATCCAAATATTATTGGTGTAAGTATGAAATAAATACTGGTTATGGAACTGGTCCTATAATAGTCTCTGAATCCTTTAGGTGTAGTTTGCTAGTAAGAATTACTGCTGGGATCACAGAGGGGCTTCTTAATGTTTTAATATTTGCTATTCTACAGGTTGCCTAGCAACTTTGTTGCGGAGCTAAGCTAACACGTGATTTCTTATACTGTGCTGAAACTGCCAGAGCATGTTTACTTCCCAGTATGTTTAGCTTGCTACCCCAACCTGGAAATCCCCACAGCTATGAAATAGTACAAAATTAAAACAGCGTTTAAAAGTACTCAAGTGTTTATTGGTGGTATATGTTGTTTTCCAGCTTCTTGATGCATTTGGACACAAATCCAATATTAGTTTGGTGTTTGATTTCATGGAAACAGATTTAGAGGTAAGGTTGCTTTAGCTGCTGTATTTTTGACTCAATACTTAAGATGTTTTAAAATTATTTAAGTATCCAGGTTGCAGCCGTATTGGTCTAGAGGCAAAAGGAATCGGAACTCATGGTAGAGGTGATACCTTTTATTAAACCAACTAATCACCTCTACCACAAGTTCTGATTCCTTTCAAATTCTTCAGTGGTTTTACACTTATTCAGTACTGAACTATCAGACCAACACACAATAATATGAAATATTAAGGATCATATTGGTGTCTAGGGTTGTCTTAAATTCAACCTGAATTTTTTTTTATCAAGGCAGGTTATATTAACGCTACAGGGGATGAGTTTTATACAAATTGCCTTATCTGACATAAATTATACCTTGAATATCTGTTTCATAGAGTATTTGCACGCGGTTTCATAGTTGGTAGGGTCAGAAGGAACCTGAGCAGATCATCAAGTCCGACCCTCTGCCATGGCAGGAAAAAGTACTAGGGTCAAACAACCCCAGCGAGGTGTTTGTCTAACCTCCTCTTAAAGACCCCCAGGATAGGAGCCAGCACCACTTCGCTTGGAAGTTGGTTCCAGATCCTAGCCGCCCTGACAGTGAAGTAGCGCCTCCTGATGTCTAGTCTGAATCTACCCTCTGCCAGCTTGTGACCGTTATTTCTTGTCACTCCTGGTAGTGCTCGGGGGAACAGGGACTCCCCCAATACCTGCTGGTCCCCTCTGACTAGTTTGTAACAGGACACTACATCCCCCCCCTCAGCCTTCTCTTGTGGAGGCTGAACAGGTTCCATTAGCCTCTCCTCGTAGGGCCTGCCCTGCTGCCCCCTGATCATGCGAATGGCCCTCCTCTGGACCCTCGTCATGCTGTCCACATCCCTCCTGAAGTGCGGCGCCCAGAACTGGGCGCAGTACTCCAACTGCGGCCTGACCAGTGTCGCATAGAGGGGGAGGATCACTTCCTTGGACCTGCTCGAGGTGCATCTGTGGATGCATGACAAGGTGTGGTTGGCCTTCCTGACC